GAATCCTTGAAAACCATATGAGAATTCATAGTCTAGAAAAGCCGTTCATATACCCTCCGTGTGGAAAGAGTTTCGATCAACAAGGAAACCTTAGTCCACATGAGAATTCACACTGGAAAGCCGTACTGTATACCTGGGAACAGTGTGGAAATGGTTTCAGATGTAAAATATCCCTTAATAACCACATAAGGATTCACTCGAGATAACTTTTTATGTCATCAGTGAGGGGAGTTCCACAGACAGCAAACACTGTAAAAATCATGTATTAACTCACATCGGAGAGAAGCCTTTCACGTGCCATCACTGTGGAAAAACTTGCTCAGACAAAGCAAATCTTGCGATTCACATAAGAAAAAAAAAATTATTTTTGTGATGCAAGTTAAAATTGAAGTTGTATATGTTATTCTTTTTGTAACGTAATTTATTTGTAAATGAACCTGAATACGTTATGTACATTTTGTATTTTTGGTTATGCATGTTCACATGTATAAATAAAAGAGAAGTAATTATGTACATTGTTTATTTTTTTTAATGCAGCTTACAATTTTTACACAAAACATTCTTCTATACATTTTTTTTTTGTCGTGTAAATAATTTTCTTTTACACATTAAAACAAATCATTCTATAAATTACTCAAAAGTACTTTTTACAACTATTAACAACATAACTTAGGTTTAACATCAGAAAAACAACCTCAATTTTAAGCCCTGCCCTGCAAACCCACGGCAAACTGCCTCTAGGTCTTTTGGGGTCATCGGGAGGTGAATCACTTAGTGGCGAATGGCCAGCACCTCCTCAGCGACTCGGAGGACAATGCGGTGACAGTGGAACAAGGCATGTCAAACACTCTGGAGACCACCCTGTATGGTGTACCACTGGCAGACAGAAAAGAAACACCAGGGTCTGGATTGTGGAACCCCATCACTGTTGCTGTTCACTTCTCAGAAGATCCAGCAGCACTGTCAGGGCCTCCCTTGCTCAGTCGAAAACGGTCCAAAAACCTGTACTCACCTTAAAGTTGTTCCAAACCTGCATTATATTGCATACTCCAATATACTTCAGGTATCGAGAGTAAAAGTAAAGGTATGTACAGTATTGTTCAGAAAACAACAATTTGTATCCTGTACTATTTTTTTTCCCTATAGTTCCTATATTCCTAATGGCAATTTTGATTTGTTTATATACTACACATTTTATTTAACATTTTCATCACATAATATATTATAGAAAATATATTTTATAGTTTCTATGGCTACTGTAATAAATGCTATGTCACTTAGCACTGCATCATCCAGATACATTATTACCTGGAGATGACTTTTAAAACACACATAAACCATTGTCGCAATCAAGCATGTATTGTATTTAGATTTTTTATTAAGCTTAACTACAGCGATAGCTGGATGCCTTTGTCCATATTAGGGATTTCCTGGCACATCATAAATTATGAGTCACTTTGGACTTTCTGCATGAGTGCGCTTCGAGTATGATAATCAAATACGTCCAGTGGGATTTTTATAGAAAGATTAAAAATACGGGAAAATATTTAAATGGGATGATAGCGGGATAGAATGGTAAAATATGGGAGAATCCCAGGAAAACGGGAGGGTTGACAGGTATGCCTCTTGCACCGTTGCTATGCGACAGGAGCGGTAATTGGGAACCCCTGGTGGCACAATTAGGAAATCCTTTGAAGTGCACACCCTTAACTTTGGGATGCAGCTTGTGTGTGTGCGCACCTCTGCTGATGAGCTGATCAGCAGCAGCTGTGGCTCATCAGCTCCTATATTTAATGGCCTTGCTTCTTTCCCTGTGTTGTCAGATCGTTGGTTTTTGTGTAGTCTTATCCTGGAAGCGCTCTCTTTTTGATCTTGTTCCTAGTTCCTGCACTGGGCTGCATTTCCCAAAAGCATCGTAAGCTTTAATTGATCGTAGATCCATTGGTGGCAATGGGTTTACGATGTACTTAGACTTACAATGCTTTTGGGAAATGGGAGTGTGCGTACGCAAAAATCCACGGCAACGTTCAGATTTATAAAAACGGTCTTTGACGTGGAAAAGAGCTTAGCGCCACATCAGGGTCTGAGCAGACGTACGCACTTTTGTTTGCCCGCGTGCTGCAGGTTTTTGGAAATATAAGCCAATCTTGCCGCTCGTAAAAGATTTGGACATTGTCAGGTGCTCTTTTATAAGTCAATGACATTAATTAGACATTGTTTACAGGGCGGAGATCTGAAACTGTTGGATAATTTTACAATCTATGCACAAAATGAGCTCATTTCAAATTTGATGCCTGCTACAGGTCTCAAAATAGTTGGGACGGGGGCATGTTAACCATCTCATCTCCTCTTCTTTTCAAAACAGTTTGAAGACGTCTGGGCATCGAGGTTATGAGTTTCTGGAGTTTTGGTGTTGGAATTTGGTCCCATTCTTGCCTGATATAGGTTTCCAGCTGCTGAAGAGTCCGTGGTCATATTTTTTGTTTAATGATGCGCCAAATGTTGTCTATAGGGGAAAGATCTGGACTGCAGGCAGGCCAATTCAGCACCCGAACTCTTCTACTACAAAGCCATGCTGTTGTAATAGCTGCAGTATGTGGTTTTGCATTGTCCTGCTGAAATACACAAGGCCTTCCCTGAAATAGACGTCGTCTGGAGGGGAGCATATGTTGCTCTAAAACCTTTATATATACACCTTTCAGCATTCATAGTGCCTTCCAAAACATGCAAGTTGCCCATACCGTATGCACTTATGCACCCCCATGCCATCAGAGATGCTGGCTTTTGAACTGAACGCTGATAACACGCTGGAAGGTCTCCCTCCTCTTTAGCCCGGAGGACACGGCATCCGTGATTTCCAACAAGAATGTCGGATTGTGTTTACCAACAGTGGTTTCTGGAAGTATTCCTGGGCCCATATAGTAATGTCAATGACAGAATCATTCCGATGAGTGATGCAGTGTCGTCTGAGGGGTCTGAGGGCCGGGCATCCAACAAAGGTCTTCGGCCTTGTCGCTTACGCACAGAGATTTCTCCAGTGTCTCCAGTGTCTCTG